GATCACTGAGCTGGGGAGGCAAAGAAAGTTTACTATTAAAGTCAACCACATTGCTTTTAATATTCCTCCACACCTGTTTAGAATTTTTAGAATTCAAATTAATATTAAACTGAAAATAGGCTGTCTTTTCAGCACTCATCGCCCTATTCACAGCAGATTTCAGATCCTTATGGTATATTTTATCAGAGACTTGCTTAGAAAGACGACTCTTATTAAGAGCTTCATCTCTTAACTTCATCATTTCTTTCAGAGTGGGTGTAATCCATGGATAGCTTCGATTTTAAAAATAAACTTTTTTGATAGGAGCATGCATATCAAAAACGTACAGCAAATAGGACGTGAAAGACGATAGGGCCTCGTTCACGTTGTCGCTGAGCACTCGTTCCCATTTAATGGCGTTAATGAGCTTATCAAACTCAACAAAATTTATATCCTTCAGTGGTCTATACATTATCCATCTAGGGATAACTTTATCTTTTTTTAAGTGTAGGTTACAAGATATAAGTACATGTTTACTTAATTCTGGTATGAGATTGACCGATACATTGGATACTTTAGTACTTTGGTAAATTGGATATTGGTACATCTAAATGTACTACATATTAAATCTATTAGGGTTTCAGAATGGTCTGTAAAGTGAGTAGGTACTGTTACATATTGTGTGAGATTTAAACATTGAAAAAAATTTGCCAGTTTTTTCGTGTTAGGTTCATCTGTGGCATTCATATTTATATTAAAATCCCCCATAATCACTATATGGTCAAACCTGAAAAAGAGTTTATGGATTCTGTAAGGTTATCTATAAACGAGTCTATATTTAACCAAGGAGGTCTATAGGCAGTGCCTATAGCAAATCGAGACTGATTCAGTGTCAAGCTTAACCAAATTTGCTCAACCGAAGTAGATTGTGGGGGTTTCAACTGCCGTACGTTAATACCATCACGAATATAAAAACCGACCCCACCACCTCGTGAACGAACATGAGAAGGTCGCGCAACATGACGAAGCTTGTATCCCGGCGGCACTGGTGCACGTTTCTCCTCTCCTTCTTTCAACCAAGTCTCATTTATGGCCATAATATCAACTGAATGGTTCTCCAGCGCGACCAGAAACTCCTCGTGCCGGTTTCCTAGAGACCCAGGATTTAACAAACCAAGTGTCAATAGTTTCCTATTTATGAATTGTAAGACAAAAGAATAGGAAATGAAAATTATTTTGGCATTATTTAAATACTTTTTTATACAAAAGTATAAAAATGAAAATAAAACACTGTTGTCCCTGAGATGATATAGCCAGCAAAATTAACTATACTTGCACCAAAAAATAACACACATACAGCACCATAGGAATACACAAAGCAAAGTAATATTATTATTGGAAAGCTATAAATAGCCATACGCCGCACTTGTAATCAAGCAATAAACAAAGCGGAGTACAAATAGACTAAAAAAATCACATATATTTGAGACCATGATACTTGTAGGTAGGCTTGCCATGTGTCCGGCTTTAGCCGGACATGTTTGGCTTTTTTCGGTCGCGTCCGGCCAAATATGTACGTGTTTGGCCTGTCCGGCTTTTGTCAGACTTTTTGTCAGAGTGGCGATTCGTACGACGATGGGCGGACGAGCGTCCGAGCGGACAAGAGAGCAAACTGTTGGTGCGCGCGGCGCGTGACGTCAGCGTGACTACCCCTCCCCGCTGTCTGATATAATAAATATGTCCGGCTTTTAGGGCAAAATGTCAGGCCTGATATAGTGCGCAGTCCGGCCTTTGCATTTTATGGCCTGGCAACCCTACTTGTAGGCAAACAATGTAACAAAGAAAAGCGAAGTAATATGGGAGCTGCACTTACAGGATTAGTGTAAACTAGTTTTTCGGAAGCGGTCCAGCGGTTTCCAAACCAAAAACCCCTTCCAGGTCGGCCTGCACGCGCAGACGATAACAGGGAACGTCCTGACCAGGGTGTTGTCGCGCGAAAATCTTGCCGTCCTTCCTTCCAGACGTAACGCCAGCCCAACCGCTTACCAATCTCGCGCGCCCGGCGGAACAGAGAGCGATTGGCGCGTGTCAGTCGCTCATTTATATAGAAGCGGCGAGCCGGCCCAGGCATAACGGCGTCCTCGGTTGATTGCGCACGGCGCACTCGAGCCACGTGCAGCAGATCATCGCGCATCGCACGCCGCACCAGGCGTACCAAAATGGGATGGGGCCTCGCAGCCACGCTGTCGCCCTCCACAGGCTCCGGGGGGCGTCCCACACGCGTGACTCTGACCACATCCTGCTGTTCGAGCCTCACGCCGATTTCCGCCGCCAAGGTTATGACGACATTCTGGAGACTCTCCCCCCTCTGCTCCGGTATGCAGGTGATCTCGACGTCGTTCAGGAGGCGTTCTTGATCACGATCATTCAGCTCCGATTTCAGGGACTCGATTGTATTTTGCAGCGTAATCTAAGTACTATCAGCATGCTCGTCGGCCACACAGCAGTTCTCCAGCTTGTACAGGCGTGACCTGAGTTCACCAATCTCGCCTGTGCATGTTTCTACCTGTGCCACCAAACCAGAAAGCTTCCCGTTGAATTCTTGGACCTGTTTGCGAGTTTCTATCATTTCACTACGAAACATGCGAACCTCCTCTACCAGAGTATCCAGTTTCCGCGCTAGAACTGTCAACGCGTCACCAGGCTCAGACGAAGCAGCCTCAGGGTTCACACCCTCAATTGGGCTTAAAGCGGTGGCACCACGGCGGCGATTGACCTTGTCATCGTGTCCACGAACCGGGGTGTCGCTGTTATCCGACTTCGGTTCCCGACTTTTACGCGCCTCGCATTTCCAATTTAGTCTATGTTCTCCTGTTAGCGTGTTCCGAAACCGCTGTTCAGAAACGTTTTCGCAGATGATGTCATAATATCCAGAACAAACGCTGCAGCACAAGTATAGTCTATTTTTTATAACTTGCAGACAGCCGGCACAGGTTTTCGAAGCCATTGTGTAGGTATCGAACCCGGGATAGTGGAGAATATACCAGAGTAGATAGCCGCTGAGCTGTACGTCCTTTAGAACAAGTGGCAAAATTTCTGTTTAGTATCCAGTGGCGTGCATTAGGGGAGACCTATGTCCAGCAGTGGACGAACATGGGTTGATGATGATGATGATGATGATCCAAATGTAATTAACAGTTTGTATCAGTTGTTTCGTCCGAGACTCAAGGCAAATACCAAACAGGACTAACGATCACAGTTTTTAACACAGTTCACCTTCACAGATTTTATAAAAACTATAATATCTTGACAATCACTTCACCCATTTTATTGTTTTATATATGTAAATACGAGAAATCAGTTGACAAAAAGATTTATTTGCTCGTCACAGGTAACGGTAGAGGTATAGGTTTTACTATTTAAATTGGCAATAAACACGGAACGCAAGATATTACGTTTGAGGTGAACTACCCTACTCTCTTACACTATAAAGTACTATTTTATCTATACTTATAATAAATCTGTAGAGATGTCAATTCTGTACATGAAATATATTTTTAAAATAACTATCAGGGGGTGATTAGTGATCGATACTGATGCCAAAAATGCAATCAGTAAAATTTTTGTCTGTCTGTCTGTCTGTGTGTATGTTCCTTATAGAAACAAAAACTACTCAACGGATTTTAACGAAACTTGGTACAATTATTCTTTATACTCCTGGGCAGGTTATAGTATACTTTTCATCACGCTACAATGAATAGCAGCAGAGTAGTGACGGGAAATGTTGGGAAAACGGGAGAAGTTACTCCATTTTTTAAGCATCCGTCGCGGGTGCAGCCTTAATGGTTAAAGTTACATAGAAATCATGTATGACGGAAATATTCTACATAAAATTGTCTAAAAAATATCCCGCAACAGCATATGTCTATCTTTTATGGTTGACTCACAATAACACGTGTAATTATATAAATAAAGTCATTCTTTATAGCACAAGCCTGAGAACAAAAACTATAGTTTACACTACAGCTCTACACCGAAACGAAGCGAGGGCGAGCCACTAGTCTATAATAATATTATTCTGATTCAATTAAATATGCTTGGCTAAACTTTTTATAAGCATAGGTACCTACGATATATAAAACAGAAACAACATAAGACTGTATAGTGTGTCTTATTAATTACCTATTTTACTTGAATGAACTGCTAGTATCAAAATCATTTTGGTCCGACTGTATAGGGTTGCTACATGCATACTAGTGGCGCCATCATTTAATGTCACGACTTTATAGACAAACTGTACGTCGCACGATAGGGTACGGCCAGAGTGCACTCAGATTCAGATTCAGATTCAGAAAACAAGCGCGAGAAATATAGGGTGCGGCCAGAGTGCACTCAGATTCAGATTCAGATTCAGATTCTGAAAACAAGCGCGAGAAATAAACAGTGTAGTCGAAGGGTACGGCCAGAGTGCACTCCTGATTCAGATTCAGACTCAGAAAACAAGCGCGAGAAAAAGCAGGCAAAAGGGTACGGGTGCGGCCAGAGTGCACTCAGATTCAGACTCAGATTCAGATTTCGAAAACAAGCGCGAGAAATAAACAGTGTAGTCTAAGCAGGTTGCTTGCTTTTTCTCGCGCTTTGTTTTCTGAGTCTGAATCTAAATCTGAATCAGGAGTGCAATCTGGCCGTAACCTTCGACTACACTGTTTATTTCTCGCGCTTGTTTTCAGAATCTGAATCTGACTCTGAATCTGAGTGCACTCTGGCCGCACCCTACGGCCAGAGTGCACTCAGATTCAGATTCAGATTCCGAAAACAAGCGCGAGAAATAAACAGTGTAATTAAAGCAGGGTGGCCATAGTGGCCGCAGGCAACCTGCTTAAACTACACTGTATATTTCTCGCGCTTGTTTTCTGAGTCACGACAGATAAGTGTAGTTCTGTCATTATCCGTTTTTTTCACAGCACAGATTACAGATGATAACAGAGAATGTAATCTGTCTGTATTCGTTTGTCTGTCTAGTTTAATGTTACAATTGATTGAGAATTTAAATAATAGTTTCCTAGATAATTGCTCCGTCTATGCACTTTACAATTGTGTATTTTGGTTTTATCAACTTAGTTAAGTACTTTATTCATTGTCAATACATTTTTGCTATGTTAATTTAACATCAAACATAGGAACGAAAATGGAGGTTTCAAACAACACCGACGCCGTCAACCTTGGCGTTGGTGAAGTAGAAGCAGAAATTGGTGAAGAATTGAAGCAACTGGAAGAAGGTAAAGATTTTGACACGCGGAGTGAAGTGTCTAGCTCGACTTCAAGCGAATCAAGCACACCAAGTATCAGTTCTGTCAGCACAAAATCAAAAGAAAGACATGTAAATCGTAAGCGTACCAAATCTAAAAGCCATTCCCCTGTTCAAAACAAACGTAGATGTGTCGCTGATGCTAGTACCAAAATTAAGACTTACGATTATATGACTAAATTGAATTATTTATTCAGAGACACACGTTTTTTTTTGATTAAGTCTAACAATGCTGAAAACATTACACTGTCCAAAGCGAAGGGAGTATGGTCCACTCTACCACAAAATGAAGCAAATTTAAATCAAGCATATAGAGAGTCAAGAAATGTTTTATTAATATTTTCTGTAAAAGAAAGTGGTAAATTTGCTGGTTTTGCTCGTTTAGGTAGTGAATCCCGCCGTGATGTGCCACCTATATCCTGGGTGCTACCACCAGGGCTCTCAGCTAAAGTTTTGGATGGTGTATTTAAGGTTGATTGGATCTGTAGAAAGGAGTTGCCATTCAGCAGTACACTTCATTTGTACAATCCATGGAATGAAGGGAAACCAGTCAAAATTGGAAGAGATGGACAGGAAATTGAACCCAAGGTTGCTGAAGAATTGTGCAGACTTTTTCCAGAGGATGAAGGCATCGAAATGACCCCTATTTTGAGGAAGTCAAAAGAAGCATCTAAAAGAGGCTATATGAAAAGTGGTGGTAGCTACAGAACTTACAGAGCACCACTGTCATCAAGAGGATCAAATTACAGAAATCGTCTGGGAATTTCCACAAGGAGTCGGCGGAAAATATTCTCTTCACCAAGAAACAGATTGGCTCCTAATTCATTTAAAAGAAGATCACCCTCTCCTTATATGCGTGATCGTATACCAGGATGGTTTGGTCGTTCAAGAGACAATTATAATAGCAGTGGCTCTGCTGCTGCTGAAGCATATGTGGCTGAATATATGCGTTCTATGCATCACCAGTTGCCACCTCTACCTTATGTGCCTCCTCCTGGATTCAGTGGTGCCCTATCTTCATATGATGGCCTTCCACCTCCACCACTTCCCCCACCCCCACGTTACTATGACTTACATGATTATCCTCGTTCAGTGATAGTATATGACAAAAGATCATATGAACGTTCAGTTGATGAGTTCTTGTGGCGTACATCTGACCGTTCCCGTGGTCGTAGTCGTGAACGTGAACAACATCGATCATATAGAGATCGCAGATAAAAGTGTAATTTGACCAACGATGTATTACTTGGTTTTTACAAATAAAAATTTGTGTTTTGAACTGTGAACTTTATTGAATCAGAAATCATAAGTGTTGTGATGAACAATTTCATAATACATATTTGGACACTTCTTTTGCTTCATAGGTATAAAAGACTTGCTGTGTTTTTCATAGACAGTTATCTGAGAGTGGAAATCTCAGATAGAGTACCGGGTTTGTGTGAGAGAAAATCAATGCAACTGTTTCTTGCGCAGACCATCTAACATAAACTTATACTTATTGAATATTATTTATTCACATGAATCTTGTAAGAAATGTTTATGTTACATATTTTAATAGTGACATATTTTCGAAATCTGGTGATTTTGTACAACTAAGGTTGTGTGTAATAGCTGTGATATAATTGTAGAATAATTGAACACTATATTGCAAAAATATAAGCCAAAATATGAACTTCTGTACTGAATTTGTTTTAACAAAAAATCTTCTTTTATTGAATTGTCTGTTGATTTTTCTTATCATAATTGTTTTCACTTGTGATAGTTAATTATTACTTTGCATCCATGCCATAGTGCCGCTTTCTAAATGTTGCTGTAACTAATATCTGTTTATATTGGGTAGGTAGTCATTGTGCCACCATCTAATATGCCAACTGTTAAGTAATGATTTAATAGTGTTATAGTAGATGAGATAAAATTTGCAGGCTAATAATTACATTTTTCTAGTTAAACTAGTATTATAGCAAACCAGTTGTATAAAACAACAGAAATGTGTATCTGGCAATCAGCTATTTTGCTTGATCCAAGCAAAGTAGAACAGTACATCATCAACGCAGCTTTGCATATGGCCATGAAATTAAGTGTCAAAGAAATTAGTTTTTAGTTTGGAGATTGTATGGCACAGATAGTCCGAGGCGGCGACATAACTCGTCATCCAATTGGAAGTATTTCATTTCATCTGGACAGTTGCTTTAGCTCAATAAAGCCAATGGTCGATTCTTTATGCAGTAGGTACAGAGCAGAGGGCCTATGTACTAATAACTTACTAACAGTAATTTATACAGTATTTCCTTCTGCGTTGATCACATCGCCCCATTATAGTAACTGATCGATATATGTCATTGATATTCTCATTCAATAGGAATTAATATGGCTGAGCTTTGCTTTGCACTGCCTGCCTTTAGTTCCAAGCATACAATTTGGATTTCTTCTCATTCAGGGTTAGTTTTAGTGTAACATAACATATCTTAAATGGAAAATATCTAAAAAAAGATATTTTAAAAACCAGCTTTTATAATTTATTTTAATTATAACAAAACTTTATCGTAATTCACATTCATTCAACAAATGCAATGATCTTATTTTCCCTAATCTGATATTATGGGGTTGCATATATGGATATTATCTAGGATCAAAGTACCTACTCAATACGTAACAAACGAGCCCGAAATTGATGGTGAAGCAGTCATTTATTTATGGAGATCCTATGGCTACCTTCTAGCTATATTATTTATCAACCCCTGTACCATTTAATACCGATGTACTCAAGACGAATCAAACGAGCCCAACTCGATGTGATTGTGTCGATTTATTACGGACTTCCTATGGCCACCTTCCAATTCTATCATCACACCCTGGATAACATCTAGAGACAAAGTACTCGTCAGTTGAACGAGTCACTATGGGGTTGCGGCGTTTTATGAGATAGTTCCTATAGCCACCTTCCAGCTCCATCCATCATCAAATCAGCTCCACGCGATATACATATGCGTGCGTATTTTTGATGTTCAAATACCTTTAAAATGTCTTCTGTTCTGTGTGCCTTGAGCATTGTGTTGTGTCTTTTTGTGTCAGATCTCCTAAAGTATCTGCCGTAACCAAATAAAAAAAACCTATCAAAATTGCAAATCGAAGGAGTGATGTACTGCATGTTTTCGCTTTAGGATAGGATTAATTTATTCTAAAGACCCTAAAGTTAATCTGAACAAAGGCGAACAAGTGATGTATTCGCGGTTGGTGTTGATCCCAAGTTTGTTCCAATTCAGAAGCATAAAAACGTCTTTCCACGCAGCGTCAAACAGCTTATTTGAAGTCGATACCAATCCATATTGTGTTTAGATAATGGTATCGACATCAGTCGGTAAATCTTACTTTTTCTTTTCCAGTTTTTTGAAGTCCGTGCTATTTTTTTGTATTTTTGTTACCCTATTTTTAGATGTAGGAATCAGGGTTTAACTTAAATTGATAACTTCTCAGTATCTTCACCGCACCTCTCCGGGTGTACGCTGCGCCAAACACTTTTACGAATATGCACAAGCAGGTGTCTGTTGAAAGATTTTTACCACTTTAGATTTAAGTAATAAGAAATTAAAATTGCTTAAATATTGACAGCCCGGCAATGCCAATAATCTACGCCCATATGTTGTGTCGCGTGGTGGGTTGTTACGTTCCCTCAAATATGGTTGAGCGAAGCGATGGCTGGCTGGTTCAGACGTCATGCTCGTGAACAGGTGCTGCCAGAGGTGATGAATCTGCACTATAGTACTTTACTATTAAAATGTTATCTAGATAAACCTAATATAAATAACACTGTAGTTAAAGTTTATGACAACAATCAAAATTCAGGTTAATAATTATTGTATAATTTCACATTATGTGAAGGTGACTTCATTAATCATCTCATATGGAAGGCATTTTTCAACTTGACGGCTCTGTATTATACTACTTACTTAGTCCTACTCTAATATTATAAATGTGAAAGCTTGTACGTTTGTAACACTATCACGCAAAACCTACTGGAAAGAAAATTTGGAAGAATCCAGGAAAAATGTTAGGTTCCCGTGGGATTCTCAAAAACTAAGTTAACGCGGACGAAGTCACGGGCGGACGCTAGTAGTATGATAATACAGGGAGAAAAAAACATTCCTTGCTGAGTTTCTTGCTGGTTCTTCTCAGTACAAAGTCTCCCACCGGTTTAGAACATTTACCAAGTAGATTTACAAACCATAGGCGTAGCTTTTCGACATTCATGGGTGCTTGTAACAGCCTAAACTGAATAAACCATTTTTGATTGATTTTGAGATCTCCAAGCCCCCTAGGTTATAAAATCCAATTTTATGTCGTACAAAGTGTGTAAAGTGTGTAAACGATAGTAAATTGTGTGATGGTCGGTCATCGGGTGGTGTCGTGGAGTTAACAGATAAGTATTCAGGTCAAGTAAAAGTACCGAAGATGCAGTTTTAGAACTTACAGAATTAGTGATTAAAGGCTTCCTCGACCTAACTAAAGCCTTTGATACGGTATCGATTCCTGTTCTTCTGCATAAACTTAACCTTATTGGTATAGGGGGAAAACACTCCAGATTTTTGACAGTTATTTAACAAATAGATCACAGTGTGTTGTTGTCAATGGTTTTACGAGTGATGATGAGTTCATTGAGTTTGGTGTTCCACAGGGAAGTGTTTTGGATCCCACATTATTCTTGATCTACATCAATGAGCTCTGCGAACTTTCGCTGTCGAACACCAAAATTATAACTTATGCTGATGACACAGCTTTACTGATTCAGGGTCGATCTTGGGTTGAAGTTGTGAAGTGTGCAGAATCAACTTTAAAGTCGGTTATGTTATGGCTTACCAGAAATCTACTCACCTAAATTTAAGCAAAACAAAAATCATTGCGTTTGGTCCAACAAAATCATCCCTACCATCTCAATCTATAGTTATTCAAGCACATACTTGCAACGCTAGCCCAAATACTCTAAAACAGTCGTGCTCCTGTATTGAAATTACATCCTCAATTAAATATCTAGGAGTTATTTTAGATGAAACTCTATCTTGGAAGGAACACATATGTCTAGTCTCATCACGTGTTAGAAAGCTCGCATACGTATTTAAAATTTTAAGAGATGTGGTTGACTTTCCTACGTTAAAAGTCATATACTACTCTCTTGCCCAGTCGTTAATTACTTATTGCTTGGGTGCTTGGGGTGGATCTCCTGGAAGTGTTTTGCTGCATTTAGAAAGAGCCCAGAGAGCGGTTCTAAAGGTGATGATGCAAAAGCCTTTTAGATATCCAACTGTCGAACTATATTCACTCACCGGTGTTTTGACTGTTAGGCAGATGTTTATTCTCAATGCTATTTTGTACACACATCGTCGCCTCCCATATGACCCAGAAACTGCCAGAAGTAAACGTGGATGTGGTAGGGTTTGCAAAATTAGTAGATGCAGGCTAACATTGTCTCGTCGCCACCTTTCAAACATTGCTCCTTTGTTATATAACCGGGCCAGCAAAATCATTGACATATATCCACTTACCCTTTATAAGTGTAAGACGGTTGCTAGGCAGTGGTTGCATTCCCTTTCATATGATGAAACGGAGAACTTACTCAGGGTCATCAAATAATACACGGATATACATGTGAAATCACATGTAACTATCATTTTAGTACAATCGGACACTCACTCTCATAAACATACACACATGCACATACAGATACACACGCAAATACAGACTCACACACACACACACACACTCATATATATATACAAACACACACACATACATCATTTTTATCTTTAAGTGTAATTTTTATTTATGTATTATGGAACACACGTCTCTGTATCTGGAGGTGGGCGCTAATAGCTGTAACACAGTTCTAGAAACTAATATAGCTATTAACGAACCTAATTATACATGTAACCTTAATTAGTTCCAATAAATATATTTTCATTTTTTGAAGTTATACTTCTTTAGGCGCGTTATGAAAAAATGATGAGAGTGAAATTTTAAGATGCGCGCGCATCACTGTAACAAAAAATTTTAACAGCATGCGTTACTTTTGTGTTTACCGCACATTAAGAAAATCTACCAACAAAATAGAAATAGAATCTCTATTTAGTGGGTGCTAACGACTGCATTGTGAAGGCCTATCAAAAGTATTTATTAATCTGGAACAACGGAACCAAAGCGCGATTCAGGAGACTACAGCGCCATCTCTTGACCATTGGTGTAGTAGAACCAAAAACCACATCTTTATTTTTTGTAATAAAGTAACAGTTATAGGTATTCATATTTATAATATTTATCCACATGTTTCTAGTTTGTATATTCGGAATACGTGTTTGAGTTTCATACAAGTACAAATCACATATGTTCTAATAAATTATATTCAGTAGCGATTTTAATTGAATATTTTGATTATTTATTTATTTTTTCAAATTAAAACTGAACTTTATTGACTGTGTCCTTTTCCAGACTTTTTATTAATTTATTGTAATTAATTATTTGCATGCAAATTAAAAACTAATTTTAAACGATGCCAAAGAAGGATAACTTCTCACGCGCCTACATAAGTACACGCACCCATTTTTTTTCATTTTCAAGTATTTTTTTAAATTTATAAGTGCCTATTATTGAGCAATCTCAATTGCTTAAAGGACGAGTCCCTAAAAATATTTAGCACTGCCTAAATTGCAGGCCTACCTATCCATAATGTGGCCAACCGCACTATTAAGCAGCCTCATCGTCGGCATCGAACCCGACCCTCTCAACTCGATAAGGCATTGTGGACGTTTAGTCTTATTATTATGTAATAGGAGGCGTGGAGGTTGTAAGTCGCGGACGCAGGCGCGATTCTGGAGGGCGCGCAAGGGGCCAAGGGATGAGGGTGCGTCAGTCGGCGCTCGGCGACTGGAGGTGCAAAGCGCTTCGCGCCGCGCCCCATATCGCCGGAGCGTGGCTCGGGGCGTGGCGCTTACGTAAACACGCGCGATACACAACTCGCGCTCCGGGCGGCGCGGTGCCGCGCCACTGTCCGTCCTAGAACGACCCCATGTCGGCCCGCGCCGCCGTCTAAGTGTATGTCGATTGTTCATCACACGCTGCCGCGCCACCGCCGCTGCCGCTGCCATCATTGCCGACTTACAATCTTATAGGTAATCCAAATGCCTATGTCCTTACTAATGTATTTACATATGGGTATCGTCTGAAACATCCACTTTCGCTCAAATGATTACAAAGATGCTTTACAGATTTCATGTCTAAGGACGACTAAAATTCTTTCAAAAATTTTGTGTTATTTGAGATTTACTTACATTTATTGGTACCTGGTCAGTTAGGTACCTGTTTAATGAGACTTGAATTTAATTTTAACAAATTACCATCAAAATACCACGTTGCTGCTGTAGGCATTACATTTATTTCTTAATGTTTTGTATTTTCATTATCTACTTACTCGACTTCAGAAAAAGTAGTAGATTCTCTCCTTTCACAAAAATATTTTTGGACCGAGTTAGATACTTAATTCAAACTTTATTTTATCAGATACCAACAATGTACTTACCATTACGATAAAAAACCTAGAATAGAGTCCGCTTCGTCCGCATGTTTAGACGTTGAAACAGTTGTTCACACATTTTAATTCAGATTCATGGATTGATTTTGATGATTAAATTTTCAGTGTTCCGTTGTGAAAAAGGAACCATTATAATTTCACTATGTATGGTCAGCCGCGTCTGTCTGTCTGCACTGCAACTTAGCTCTGAAAATTGTCACTTTAAAAATAAGTATTACGGCTTTGTAAAAATATTTTTGTTTGTAAAGTATCTAACCCCTGTCATGTTCTCATTTTTTTAACTAAAAGCTTTTCCTGCTTCTATACTTTTGCTACCAAGTAATTTTTATCTATAAAAAACAAAAGAGAGATGCTGTTAATCAATAAGCAAACAGTTATAAAAGAATAATTAGTGTAAGTATGTGAACTGTTTGTTATTGAAGAGTAATGAACTCTTATCTTATTGCTCTCTAAAACAGGTACTCCTCAGATTACTACACAGATTTTGATGATTACAATAAAAATAATCATCAAAATTGGTGCAGAAATCTGTAATAGAGGAAAAAAAACAATAACAAAGTTATATAAATAGGCACAGATACTACACGAATTGTCGAAACACGCTAAAACTACTAACTCATGTACTCCAATATAAATAAAAATTGGCTATTAGTGTTTGCTATTTGTAAACTTGACATCAGTCAGTTTAAGGACAGATTTTTGTTAAGTTTACAAACCGGCGGCATAACAGTAGGAATTCGAATAAAAATATTGGTAAAAGGCAGTAAAATTTGACCCATCCAGACTCTAGTTTATCTCAGTTGTGGGGGCCCTGGGCCACAGCCCTGCCTGCCTTACGTTGAATCCGGCCCTGGAGTCATGTCATGACCCATCTCCCTATTCCATTCATAGGGAAGGCGTGTGCCCCAGCAGTGTGGACATTACTAAGCTGAAAAAAATGACTTTTTTTTCAGTAATTTATGGGGTGGAAAATCTAACAGACTCGGGCTGATTTTAGAATACTCCTGGCCTTTTATCTTAAATGTTACCATAACTTAACATAATATTTATTTAACGATTTTCATAAACTTCATTTATTTTATTCATAGATATATAGGATATTTATTCGAACCTCGATTTGCCCAACCCAATAAATTACCGAAAAAAGTATTTTTATATTATTATTTAGTTTTTCCGAATGTATCAAGAAATTCGTTTGGCTAACAAATACAACATCTATTTTATTATTATAATAACGAAGAAGAGAAGAAGATACTTAAACCAATTTTGATGATTTTAAATTTAAATTTTAAAAGAGATAGTTAAATCATAGGAGGCTGTTAGATGCATTGTAGTAGGCGCTAACAGATATATTCAGGATGATCAACATTAGCAAAAAAAATTGACGAAACTTGCTTTAAAGAAATAAGAGAAATGTCCATAGAATGGCACTTCAACGCACCATAGCCCAGTGCTGGAGTTTTGTAATGGAATTAAAAATAAATAAGAAATGGTTAGGGACACAACGAAATATGCAAATCAGCTAAATAAAGTTTCCCAAGATCTGATTGAGCTTCCACTGACCAAATTTAAATCTCAGATCAAGAATACTCTTGTACGAGCTGTACATACCTACTTGATTGTACATTATAATGATTTCAAATTGACCTAGATTACTTTTAAGCATACTCATGAAATTGTATTTTTCTTTGCACAGTATTTTTCTTTGTAGTTTTCTTATATAATTAGTTATCGAAATAAATTAGTGTTTTTACAACATACAAACGGTTCAGTTTTATTTAGCACTCCTTGGAGTAACCTTACCTTAACAAGCATCAAGTGTGGGAAGCAACCCCCACATTTTTGGTCCTTCGAGCAATCGTTACGGGATCAAGTTTCGGTTTCGTGTCTTTGGACAGTTTGTGAGTCGAAGTGCGGTACCCTAAAAATTCGTTACGTGGACAAAGTTGTACAAGTGATTAACTTCGTCGCGTTTCACCTCGCAACGCACTGAACAGTAACCAATCAAGCATCAGCAATATTTGAGCAATCTACATCGTCTTCGTCAGTCTCGCTCAATCCCAACTAGGCATCCACACTGAGCAGTAAGATTGACAGCAGTTCCTGAGGATCTGAAGGAGGAGGAGGAGAATCTAGCAGCATCTAAGTACATCAACGGCATTTCAAGTAAGATTGTTCCTGTTATTTCAATTAATCATGGAATCTCTCATTCAGCGTCAGTCCGAAATCCAGGAGCAGATGAAGCAGATCAAAAGCAACTTTAGCAAGGACGCTTCGAGTCGCAAAACTTCGGATTATCTGATGAAACGTCTAACCGTTTTAGATAGTCTCTGGGGAGAGTTCAGTATGAATAATGAGCAATTACAGTTATGTGAGAATATTTTTTGGAAAATACATTTGATCAAGCAAAAGATTTTTACATAAATTTACGTCATACTATATCGTCATATAAAACGGAGAAAAAGCATACAGTTGACAAGACTACTCAGGACGGAAAGGTGAATGAATTGTTAAGCCAACAGCGTACAAATTTTCGAGCATTTAATAGGTTAGTGCAGCGTATCATTCCAAGCAAAATATCCGAAAAGTGGGAGTTAGAAGACGAATTGCGTAATTTACAATTAAAATGGAATGTTATTGATAACATGCATTTACAAATTGATAATCTTCTGCAAGGGGAGGATACATTTTATGAGCAAGAATTTATTTCATATGAAAAGAATTATAAGCAACCGAAACGTTCGCTCAATAAAAAATTATCAAATACAACCCTCACTCAACAAGCCACGCCTGTTATTGATATCCCAACATTTACGGGCAAATATAGTCAGTGGCCTACATTTTTTGATTTATTTACTGAGACAATTCATAATAGTAATACATTATCGAAAACTCAAAAAATGCAAAATTTAAAATGTAAAGTAAAAGGGGATGCCGAGCGGATAATTCAACATCTTAATGTTACGTCTGAGAATTATGACACTGCCTGGGAATTATTGACACATCGTTATAATAACCCGCAGCTATTATTTACAATGCAAATTGAGACTTTTTTGAATCAGCCTAATGTCCATAAGCAAACTTCGTATGAATTAAAGAAATTATACGATACGAGTACCGAGTGCATTCACGCGATTCATAACTTAGGTATCGATACGAATACATGGGATCCTCTGTTGGTTCATTTATTAGCAAAGAAGTTGGATTCAGCCACCTACAGTGACTACAAGGAATCTCGTAAGTCTCCGAGAGACTTGCCTACACTCGAAGAATTCATGACCTTTTTAGAAACCAAATTTATTGCTTTGGAGCCAATAAATAGGGAAAGAAAGGATAGAGAGGTACTTCCTGCACCTACTCGTCATAATCAGCACCATCAAGATTATCAAAAACCTATAGCAACATGGAACAACAAGCATCAAGTGTGGGAAGCAAACCCCACATTTTTGGTCCTTCGAGCCGGATTGAATTCCTTTAAAAGCCCTGAAAAGCCGGAATTGGTTTCCCTGAAAACACAAAATAAAATAATAAAGAGACCAATAAGCAAATTAATCACCTTACCTGTACACGAAGAACATCAGCCATCTACTCAACATCAGCATAATCAGCATCAACACAATCATCAAGATTCAACTCAACACCCATCTAAAATACGGCCACGTCGCATCACCAAAACGCCGAAAGGTTTTTTCAACTTTGCTACGATATTGTTATGTTTGAGTGTATTTATTACGCCGATAGTACAACAAGATCCTAACATTCTTAATGTAACTCATTTGAGTACGGACACAGGCTTGTATTTTGATAAGATTTCCAATTTGCAGCATATACGAGATGAGTGGAAAATAGTAATATATTATAACTTAACAAATTATTACAAAAGCATATTTGATATTAAAGCATACATCGATCATTTAAGCAGTTACTGTGCAGAAGATAAAACGCAATATCAAGTTATCATTCGTCAGTTAGAGCATAAATTAAATGAAATACAGCATTATAATAAAATTCTGCAAAACCAGCACATAACTAGGCAGAAAAGAAGCCTAATAAACGGCGTTGGCTACGTGGCTAACTCTTTATTTGGAATTCTCGATCAAAGTTTTGCAGAAAAATATTCGCAAGATATTAAGAAAATCAGTTCAAATGAAAATCACCTGCAACAATTAATAAGAAATCAGACTATCGTACTCGAGGCAGAGTCTAACATCTTACAACGTAATGAAAAGATTATGAATTCTCAGTTTCAATTTATAAATCAGCACGTACAAAACGTTATGAAGCTCGAACTGGCCTTTACATTACCTCCTCAGCGCTAACAGCAAGTATGGTATTAAATAATATAAAACGGATTCAAGAAACATTAATAAATACCATAACTGATATCAGACACGGGCGCATAGATACTCACCTGTTATCACCTGAACAATTACAATTACAACTCGGTATCATATCGAGTCGGCTACAGAATGATCTTACAGTGCCAGTAGAAAAAACACAGCTTAACGAGTTGTACAAAACTTTGAAGATTGCTTCTGCTATGCATCAAGATTACTTACTCATTGAAATTAAGGTGCCTAT